CTCTCACACACACACACACACACACACACACACACACACACACACACACACACACACACACACACACACACACACAGAGAGAGAGAGAGAGAGAGAGAGAGAGAGAGAGAGAGAGAGAGAGAGAGAGAAAGAAAGAACACCACAGCGCTTAACATAAAGACATCAAATATCAAAGACAATTCATGAGAAACCCTAAAGATAAATACAAATACAATGTTATCTCTGAAGTGTTTTTCATTTGCAGTTCAGGGTCTTATATCAAGAGGGCATGAAAGAGGACTTGTGAGTCTTATGATTAGTGCAGTACATAAAATAGATTAAATGACCCAATCTAAGTTGCATATAATAAGTATTAAAGTATTACGTGATATTAATCCTGCCATTCCATTACTCGCTCAATCACTGCATGCCAACTAATTACAGAGAGTCCACACACACATACAATAAGTATTAAAGTATTACATGATATTAATCCTGCCATTCCATTACTCGCTCAATCACTGCATGCCAACTAATTACTGAGACGCCACACGCACTTACATCAGGTCGCAGTAATCTTCTTAGTGCATCAACCAGACTCCCTCTGTACTGGTCAAGAAACAGACTAAGAGAAAAAGAGAAAGACAGAACAACTAGAAAGATTAGAATGCATTGCAACGATAATGGTTCCAGATAAAGCAGCAGGCTATTTATTTTCACTGTTTGCGAATAAATCTACCAGCACGGCTTGCAGATGTAGTTTCAGTGGTGTGACAGTATTCAAATCAAAAGGTAAAACACACACACTAGCAGAGATGAACGATCAAGGAAGTATCAGGTGGCGTTAACATGATACAAACTAATACTAAGCAACAGAAAAAGAAAAACCCTGCAGTGGCACACACAATTACATACAGTATATACAAATTACATATATAAATACATACATATAAATACCATTACAGAAATAACTTACATTTATATATATATATATATATAAAATAATTAAAGAGCATTTTTTAAACAATTATTTTGTAAACAATTGTCTTGACTGTCTCTTTTGATCAATTTAATGCATTTGCTGTACATATTGTGTGCTTTTTTTCCTATTCATATTACTACAGCTATTTTTACAAGAGCAAACCATGTTCCAGTCAGAATTTACTTGTGAACTTTTTGTACGAGCAAAATAGTCCAATCACCTCTGACCCTGCTTAAAACACTGCTCTCGTTTGCTAAGGGACAAAGGTCAGAGTTATGTTGATTGATCCTTATTTTTGTGATATCACTGGCCACGTCTAGTGGTCACAAGTCTGATGAATAGAAGCGTTTCATAAGCAGTTGAACTTTTGACCCTGTGTTTTGGGTGGAGTAGGTCAGTCTGGACAACAGAGGGTGAGTTTAGAGGTGAGAGTGCAGGAATGTTCAACTGGCCACATTGGCCTTGACAGGGTACGTCAAACAAAACCCGACCCAATTTACCAATGGTACTTCCTCCTTTACTTCCATATATTGACCTGTCAGTGATGTAATATTTGCCCTTCATTCTTTCTCCTTTCATTAAATGTATTTTCTGTTTATTAAAAAGCCAATGACCACCCGCAACAGCACCAGCAGTATGTCTAAGCCTTGGGCCGCAAGATTTGCTTGTTGGTTTTGTTGTCGTCATCCTCACCAGCAGTTAACTGACATTTAAATCCCTCTCTTGCCTGACCTGTGCGAACAGTGCATTTACAATGCTATAAATAGAAGTGTGGTAGCATATTACAGAAGTACATAACTTGAAGCAAAACTTTACACAGCTCGCCATGATGACAAACACACTGCAAATGGGGCTTGTCTTGACATATTTTTGGCTGTGGTAATCTGAAGGTTATGGAAGTAAGATTAAAATATGGGTGGGTTTTAATACTTGATCTGACCTAATCCAGACTGCATTAACTTCATCCCCTCAATGAAACCTATAGTGAAGGCAGACAAACGACTCATAAAAATCATACCATCAGTAGGATATAGGAGCTTATGCTAAGATGACTGACATTATTGATGACTAGAGTGAAAACCCTTCTTATGTGGAGATATTTTTACAGATACATATTAAATTTCCTTCATGTTTCCTGGACACTTGATGGATATATTTTTTTAATCATTCATTTTTTTTATAACATTGTATTGTTGTCATTTATTTATCTTTATTCTAGGATTTTTATTCTATCTATCTATCTATCTATCTATCTATCTATCTATCTATCTATCTATCTAATCACACATATTGTATTCTCACAGCCATTCTCATTGGTTTGTTTGTTTGTTTATTATTATCATTTCACTAATTCAGCTGACTAAAATCTTACAAAGCTTCAAACCTTGAAATCACAAACAACAGTACAGAAATCAACACTGAAATGCTGTGAATGATGTGGCCAATTTATCTAAACAACATCTAACTGGTAAATTACACCATTTTTCAGAGCTATTGGGAAAATTATTGACCAGTCCCATTTTTGTGCTATCTTTAAAGCACTTTTATGTGTTGCTTAAAAATGTTTTTATGTGATGCTCTGTTTAATATGCTGGAAAAACACTTAGGAGACATCGATCATTCGGAGCGCCTCCAGGCAAGGGCTGGTGCCAAATGTTTGAAAACACCATAAAATTAGCGCGTTTCACAGTCGCACTGACGTCGCTGGCTGTAGAATGGATTGTCTCTAAATGGTTCTGCGATGCTGCTGTTTGGCAAAGTTAAACTGGCAAAGTCATGCGGCGTGATGGTCAATTCACATTCACGTCAATCTGCTCGTTTCTTCACGAAATCCTAGCTGTTCCAGAGCTGGAACATACACGATGACAGTTTCCAGCAATGCACAATAATAAACAAAACCAAAGTAAACACAAGAACAAATAAAATAAAAGATCACATACAGTGAGACAAAGGCAAACAATAGCATTGTCTGCATAGACCATCATAGGCTTTCACCTGACATACAGTCTTGGCCAAGTGGTTATATAACATTCTAAGGTAACTTATTGTTGCCTACAATTTAAAATGCATTGTTATAGAAGGTTCCATCTGGAATGGAATTTTCTATCCAAGATGCTGGATTATCTTTTTATCTTTATTCTATGTTTTTTTTTCTATCTATCTATCTATCTATCTATCTATCTATCTATCTATCTATCTATCTATCTATATATCTATCTATCTAATCACACATATTGTATTCTCACAGCCATTCTCATTGGTTTGTTTGTTTGTTTATTATTATCATTTCACTAATTCAGCTGACTAAAATCTTACAAAGCTTCAAACCTTGAAATCACAAACAACAGTACAGAAATCAACACTGAAATGCTGTGAATGATGTGGCCAATTTATCTAAACAACATCTAACTGGTAAATTACACCATTTTTCAGAGCTATTGGGAAAATTATTGACCAGTCCCATTTTTGTGCTATCTTTAAAGCACTTTTATGTGTTGCTTAAAAATGTTTTTATGTGATGCTTTATTGTGCTTTTTCAGCTATGCAGGTGACAAAAATATCATACTTAGGTGGTTAAGGTGAGGTGCTCTGAAAATACACAGTTGTAAATAGATCCTTCTTTCACTAACTCTGTCTTAGAAAATATATTGCACAAAATGAGCCGGAACTAGCAGTAGCAAGGTCAACAAAGGGGCAAAGTAAACAAGAAAAGGTGAGAGAAAGAAATCAGCTAAATAACATAGTAACTTTTAAAACCTAAAATAAACAAATGAAAATAAACATGCACAAAAGCTTTTATCTTGAGTCCACAGACACAGGAAGCTTAGAGGAAGCCGAGATGCCACGCTCTCTCAGTCAGTCAATCACTACAGCAGTGATTACAACGAGACCACTGCAAGAATTCACACCAGGAGCCTGCAGTCATGGCCAAAAGTTTTGGAAGTGACATAAATTTTGTTTTTTGCAAAGTTTGCAGCTTAAGCTGTTGTGGTGTTCATTCACATTGCTTCTAAATTATTGTGTAGAGCGATCAGATGCATTTTAAATCATTGCTAAAAGCTTAATTGGCCAAAAACTTAACTTTTCACCAAAAAAAAAAAAACATGTGAAAGTGTGAATGAGTACTATCAGCTAAAATCACTATCATACTAATTCGATTGTAAGAGCAGACTGATTGCTATAAAAGGAGGGAAGAAGTGCCTAAAAGCTTAATTGGCCAAAAACTTAACTTTTCACCAAAAAAAAAAAAACATGTGAAAGTGTGAATGAGTACTATCAGCTAAAATCACTATCATACTAATTCGATTGTAAGAGCAGACTGATTGCTATAAAAGGAGGGAAGAAGTGCATCCAATCATTGTGTTCTTGTTAGCAATGGTTACCTCCAAAGAAAGATGTGCAGCCATCATCGCTTTGCATCAAAACGGCCTCACATGCAAGGAAATTGCTACAAAGAATATTGCACCTGAAAGAACCATTTACCGGATCATCAAGAACTTAAAGGAGAGAGGTTCGACTGCAGTGAAGAAGTCTTCAGGCCGTCCCAGAGTGCCCAGCAAGTGCCAGGACCATCTCCTCCTGAGGAGTCAGCTACGGAATTGTGTCACCAGCAGTGCAGAGCTTGCTCAGGAATGGCAGCAGGTTGGTGTGAAAGCATCTGCACGCACAGTGAGGCCAAGACTTTTGGACAACGGCCTGGTGTCAAGAAGGGCTGCAAAGAAGCCGATCCATGAGCAGTTTGGTGATGATCCATGCATTTTCCAGCATGATGGAGCACCATGTCACAAAGCAAGAGTGATAAAGAAGTGGCTCGAAGATCATTACATTTAAATTTTGAATCTGTGGCCAGGCAACTCCCCGGATCTCAATCCCATAGAGAACCCGTGTTCAGTCCTCAAAAGGTGAGTGGACAAGCAGAAGTCCACAAATTGTGATAAACTCCGAGAACTAATAAGGTAAGAATGGATCGCCATCAGTCAGGATTTGGCCCAGAAGCTAATATCCAGCATGCCAGAGCGAATTGCAGAGGTTATGAAGAACAAGGGTCAACACTGTAAATATTGACTCATATTTTTTTGCCAATAAAAGCTTTTAAAACTTATGATATGCTTATCATTGTTTTTCAGTACACCATAGAAACATGTGGAAACATATCTACAAATACTGAAGCAGCAAACTTTGCAAAACACAAAATTTATGTCACAGCCAGAACTTTTGGCCATGACTGTACATTACACTGAGTGTTTGTGTAGCGAAGTGCTTCAACGTTCTGTGTGTGTGTGTGTGTGTGTGTGTGTGTGTGTGTGTTTGTGTATGCAAAGAAGTAGCATAAACCAGGGATCACTAAGAGACATGCACTCTCACTTTTGGTTCAGTTGCTGTGAGGGGTCACAAAACATTGCTGTTTCATAGACAGCAATATTTCAATAAAGGATGTTTCCCCTCATGACAATTTAAGGGTTGTCTAGTAAATTCAACAGACATGATTACACAAGAATTGTTTTTACCTAAGGGAATCTCACACACATATTGTATTGAGGGATCAAGTGGAGGATACTGGTGACTGATTCACTTATCATGGATCACGGCTGACTGCTTCTTCACATGCTTGACCCTAGCCTGGTGTTACTGCGATTCCAGCTAAAGATCTAAGTGATGGGATACACCGTGTTTTTCCAGAGTGCCATTCCATAGCACTTTAAAATAGAATCCCTGCAAGCATGTTTATATGTAGTCACTATAGAAATGAAGCTGAACAGAAATGGGTTACACTTTAAATCTCCATTATAAAGTCATTAACACACATTATATAATGTATATGAAAATTAAAATGTCAGTAGTTCATGTACATTCAATATGAATGCAAATGAAAACACTGAATAAAAGTCTCAAGATATACTGTATCTATTTGGACATACATTAGCATTAATTTGAAAAGTGAAGCTGGTTGTCAGGCCAATCTCAGAGTATAGGGTTTTGCCATTTTTACACGTGAGCAGCTCACGATCCAGAGTTTTCAGTATATCAGAGCAGCATTAAACTAATTTCTGGATATGCTGTGGTTTTGGGTTGCTTATAAGTTGAATTTTGGAATGCAAGATACTCTAACCATCTTTGCAAACTTGTAATGAGAAGCGCTTATAAACCAGCTGCTGACAAAAGGAGATGCTTTAAAACCTCTCTGCGGTTTTATGACAAAAAAGCTTGATGGTCTCACATTTAAGAATGCATAAATGACAAAATAGTAAATTCTTATTTAATAATAGCTATTATTATTATTATTAGTAGTAGTAGTAGTAGGAGAAGGGGGGGAAAAAATAATACTAATCATAATTATTATCAAAAGAAAAAAGGCATTTACATTTTTTCTCCAAACTGTGCTCTTTGCAAACTTGTAATGAGAAGCGCTTATAAACCAGCTGCTGACAAAAGGAGATGCTTTAAAACCTCTCTGCGGTTTTATGACAAAAAAGCTTGATGGTCTCACATTTAAGAATGCATAAATGACAAAATAGTAAATTCTTATTTAATAATAGCTATTATTATTATTATTAGTAGTAGTAGTAGTAGGAGAAGGGGGGGGGAAATAATACTAATCATAATTATTATCAAAAGAAAAAAGGCATTTACATTTTTTCTCCAAACTGTGCAGCACTACCTAAGTGTCACGGTTTCTGTTAGTTTGGACTCTGTGTTTTCATCATTCCTGCCATAGTTAATTGGTTTTCATGGTTATTCATTTGATTATGTTCAGGTGTGTCTGGCTATCACCTGTATATTAGTTCAGTTCTGTTTGAGTTTCCTTTGTCCGGTCTCATCAATGTTACCCTGTGTGTTGGATTAAAGACTTTCTAAACCTTCATCTTCATCTTTGTGCATTTGCTTACAGCATAGCGTAAAAAAGCAACTGCATTTCTTTCTAGACAGGCAATATTATTTCAGTGCATGATTATTCTACAGGCATTACTGTAACCCTCAATGGCACACTCTTGACACCCATTTTTAATTTACCGCCATTTTTAAAAGAAATACTCAATGTAGTAAACAAGAAACACTTTACTTTTCTTTAAACTCTGCTGTTGCAGTTACACTGAGGTTTCATTTACACATTTCTTGTGCTGTCATGCTGAGAACTCAGAAACGAGGGCAAGCAGGATCCAAATGCAAAATAATAACAAAAGTACAAGAAACAGGGAAACTAGAAAACACAACAGAGCTCACCTTAGTTTATCACCATAGAGGGATAAGACTTGAAAATGAACACTGTGTCCGAATATGCACACGTCTCTACTATACAGTAGGCAGAAAACAGTATGTGAAATGGGTAGTATGGCTGAATTCTTAGTATTTATGAAACAGTAGGTGAAAAGGTGACCTACTGCTTCACGTGGGGTTCTAAAGTGCACACCTGATAGACACGTGACTATCCCATTAAATCAGTCAATGGCAGTAAAGGTCACATGACAATGACAACATGGTGAATAGTGTTTAGGTTTTCATTCATACTAGACACCTACTATACATAATATGATTTTAACAGTTGCTAAGTTCCTCAATAAATGTAGCACCTACTAAGACAGTATGCGATTTTCGGACACAGCCAAGGACACAGATGCAGACAATCGGGGAATAATGAAGGGACGAACAGCAAACAGGAACAAGACAGAACTATAAACTAAAAGACTAGAAAGAGACACTTCTGAAAACTTCTGATTAAAACAGCATATCAGTATTTCACCTGCTCAGCAGTGAGGAAATATCACTTTAAACAAAACTGCACAAGTCAAGTAAAGAGCTGTGGGCCTTGAGTGCTGATTTCATGCTTTTGTCTACTCTTAGCGTAGCTACAAAACATAGTTTTCAGACAAGAATAGCATTGTCTCGTGAAGACAAAGACAAGGTGAAACAGAGGGCTGTCTTTTGGAAGAACCTTTTGCTATCATAGCTGAGACTACGTCTTTATCTCTCTCTCTTCTCCTAGCATGAGCGCCGCCGCATTATGTCCTGCCTTTCTTGCCGATTGTCTGAAAGACTATAATTAATTGGAGCAGAAGTGTGGCTGTTGACCTTTTCGCAGGTGATCGTCAGCATGGCTATGTTCGTTAATCGCCAAGCGATCACTCTCCTGAAGACAATTACAGATGAGTTGCTAGTGCAAGCAACGGGGGGACAGCAAACGCGGCATGATTCATCCTCACATACCTTCTTCCACACTCTCTCTCTCTCTCTCTCACACACACAGACACATAGTATCTCCTTACTACACACAAATCAATCTCATGCTGGCCCTCTGCTGCACATTTTACCTGCGTATTAGCTGCCATTTGTCTGACATTAGAATAATAGTAGGCTGTACCAGGCTTTAGTGATCATCGCCAGAGAACACACAGGTATCATTATAGCCCGCCTCCATCAGCCTCACCACTTTGTGCTAGATAGAGACAATGCCAAAGAACATCCGGTTTAAAGCTGGGCTTATAACAAAGTAATAATGTAATAAACTATAATAGTGTTAAGAAAAATGTTGATGAGGAAAAATGTGTATGATTTGGAAATGTATAAAATTAAAGTACTAATTAGGGTCATTATAATGCATGTAATGAGAGCAGGGACCATTACAAAAGAATCAGACATGAATAAGTCTCACTAACAATCTCCTGTATTCATTGGCCATTTTTTATGTATTTAATGTGTAGATTTAATATAAATTCATAAAATATTGGCAAACATTACATTACCGGAACAAAGGTTAACATGTAAAATATATTAAAGGGGCAGTTCATCCCAAAATGAATTTACTGTCCCTCATGTCATTCCAAACAACCTGTATGACTTTTTATTCTGAATAAAAGAAATTGAAGATTGTTTCAGCTTTTTTTAACTGTATAATGAAAGTCAGTGTGCTCACAAACAAAATCGGACCACACTGATTTTGTATGGACAAACAGATATATTATACAGAAGAAATAAAATCATACAGGTTTGGAGCGACTTGAATGAGTAAATGATGACAGAATTTTTAATTTTGTGTGAACTATACCTTTAACAACTAAATGACTATATAAATAAAAAGAATGGTTCATCTTTGATCACATGATGCCTCCCTAAGCTGGATTTCCCAAACTATCCAACATAGCATTCTAGAAACATTAAATTTTCTTGCATTACATAATGAAGTCTGAATGGACCAGTAGTAAAATTTACATCCGAATGATTGTAAAAGACTAGTATGATGCACACGCAACAACGCATTTACATAGACATATAAAAGAGAGAAAATTCCACATGTTCAGGACCTGGCTAATTGAAATGTTTGTATTGCTCCACAATCTCTCTCTCACTCTCTTTCTCTCCTTGCACAGGCATAATTATTTGCAATTTGCCTAAGACATCCATTTGCTGGGACGCCAAGCATGAAAAAGAGGCAATTTCTGAAAAATGGAAATGCCTGGCAGAACTAGCGGAGGGGAAATAATGCAGTGCCATCCGTGAGCTGATGGCTGCCATCTGATAAGCATTAGTGGCGCAGGAATATTAATGCCACATCACCGGGACACAAGGTGCACACTTTTATTGAGGGTGTAGACATATTGTGGCTGGAGATGCTAGTAAAGTGTGAGATATGATATTTATTTTGTAATAGCTGTAAGAACGGCTGCTTTGGACAGATGTACAGAATCTCTTCGCCTGCTCAGAATCATATAATGTTAGAAAGAACAAGCGGTTTGGCCTGAAAGATCTGTTTTGGAGGTGTCGTGCAACAATTGTGTTAGGATTGTACGAGTGTCATGTTTTGGGTGATGGTGGATCTCTCAAGAATTGACAGTTCAACAAAAGGATCAACCTACCAGTCAGCGCACATCACCACGTCAAAGCGACCCTCCAGAGCGGACATATCAGCCTCATTGTCCCATCTCACCACCCTGAAAGCGGACAGGATGATAGCTGCGTCATCAACCATGTTGCACAATTTATCATTCACCCCCATAATCCTTCACAATGCTGCATCCAGAGATATTTCACACACCTGACACTTGCTTTTTATTTGCGCCGTTGTCTGGCGGTGATTGTCTTCTCTCTTTTCTTTAAGTGCTAGGGCCAGTTTCCAGGCAAGCACCCCCCCCCCCCCCCCTCCCTCAACCAATCATACGCGACCTTCACCCCACTCAAACCGCGCGCTCTGACAGGAAGCCTAATCTCTAAAGAAAACAATCAAAGTAATGCAGGCTAATTATACGTTTACTCTTTCACTTCATCAGCCCAGTGTAAATACACAGGGAGGGGGAAGTGTGCAGAGCAAGAGAGAGGAGAGGAGACGAGAGGGGGAGAGAGTGGTTAGATCACTGAGTGCCAAAATTACTTTTTAGGTGATAATGCATTTGCGTGATGGTGTACACAGTGGATGAGCTGTGTTTTGGCAAATGTGAGAGAGGGGTGTTATAGAGAGAGTGTGTGTGTTTGAGTTTTCTAGATGAGGGCATTCAATCATGGAGAGTGGCTCATCATCACTCTGCCTGGATACATCTCGGCGCGTTAGAGAGCGTAGCGCTCGCCCCACTGGCTGCGGATACCTCGTTACCGGGCCAACTGGGTTCAGGGAGTGACACGGAGCCTTGCAACCTCATTTTTGCCTACTTATTGACACTATTATGTCCCGAACACAAGTGCTGTAAATGCCACTTTACCCAAACACACTTTTCTATACTTCATGGCATGCTTGACTATGCAAAGCTTCAGTGAATTATAACACTTGAATTTGTATTGACATAAGAGATGGACTTCATATGGCTGTAATGTAAAAGCAATATTAGTGCTCTGTCTTTTATTAATGGAGATGTTTGGGAGGTGTATGAGTGATTACCTGCTGGACACATTGGTAGACAGGAAGAGTCCCTCTTGCCTGTTCCTTTCGATAACACTGCGCACATCTGATGCTCTTTGTCAAGAAAAGCAACACTGTTTCATAATTAATAAAAACATGACAATTAAACATACAGATATATCCACCATGTCAAAAGTTTGAATACACCTACTCTTTTTCCATATTTTGTTATAATAGAGAAGGCATCAAAACTATGAAACAACGCAAATTATAAACAGGATATGTCTGGTCCTAAATGCTGACTGGTCAACACTGCTTTGCACTCTGGACAGCATCTCAAACAACTTGAGGTGCATCATGGGATGGTTTATAAACAGACACTTGGCAGCTGCTTTTCCTTCACTAGTTGATCTAACTAATCAAAAATAAATAAATAATTAATATTTTATATTATTATTTTCAAGTGAAGAAAAACAGCTTAAATAAACTAATAAACAAATAATTTAAAATTTTGGAGAAGAAAAATGGCATCCCCTGTGAGAATCTTTAATGATAATAATTTGTCAATGGTTATCAAAATAAATAAACATATAGACATAGACATAGGCAGACACACACATATACACACACACACACACACATAAATGTTATTTTAATATTTAGTAAATTTAGTATACTTTCACGACATGAGAAATTACATTCATAAATTTATTTAAAAGTTTGTCTGGTATTGTGTTTATATTCTTTTGTGAACGTTAATATGGAATACTACAACAAAGTGATCAAGCTGCAGAATACAGAAAAGTACACAAAAGTATGAAAGTTGTAGGTGAGACACTGTTGAACAACAGTAAGTTCCTTTTCTTTATCCCTCTGATCAAGAGCCTATTACACTTAGCTGATTTCTTGTTTAATCATGTCAGGCTCTTTCATATGACGTCAACCCACAGAGTCCATTCGCTTCCGTAACAGCCGTCTCTCTCCACAGCTCATCCTCAGATTACCACTGAGCTCAAAACCAACTCATGCAAAGCATTACCATAGGTAATCAATAGGGAGGCTTTTAACCATCTTTTAGCCATCTCCTCGGATGGGCTTCCACCCATTGTGGTTATACTGCAGGATTGATGTCAGCGCATCTATGAATACACCCTTCGACAGTTTTAAACTAATTCAATTACTATTTCTCGCTTTTTCTGGCCTGCTTTCTCTCTCGCCCCATGGAAAACAACCGTAACAAATCCAATCTATAGCACAGGGATGGAGGGCAAATCCCTCAATGAAAGAGGGGAGGGGGCTGGGTGCACACGTTACACTGGTGAGATCCACAGCTAAGGCGAGGGAGTGGAAGGCTTACAGTGTAATCCCATCAGGAAAAGACCACTGGGTGAGAGGTTAGCACTGGCGTCTCTCTCATTCTCTTTTAACAGTGCCCCGAGACACAATTTTGATCAAAAATAGACTTCCTGTGTAACACCTGTGTCATTCATTCATTCATTCATTCATTCATTCATATTGCCTCCAAGTTTCAGGACTTTTGATTAATAAAGCTCCAGAGAGCAGCAGCTATTAAAGAACATAATCAGTGTGAAAAGTAAAATTTAATAGTATGGGTCTCTTGATTACACATGCACGGCTTTAATATGAGTACAGACTAGACGAGATCAGAACTGAGTCATGAAACCACTCAGCACTTTCTGATACACTATTCATTCCCAGTTGGGCTCATTGGCTGTTTTTTTTTTTTGATGAAGTATTCAGATAGAGTGTGTGTGTGTTCATGTAGTAACATGTCTAATTCAGTCATATTCGGTTTAGATAGTAAGAATACTACATTTGCATATCATATTTGGAGTAACATCTAATTGTCCAACAATAACACCTGGAATGCTTTTTAAATACTGAAGGACTTGAGTATTGTTAGACACTTGGTGGTTTCTTTCTCTTCACAATTGTATCCAACTAATCTAAATAGACACAGACAGACAGACAGTGTGACAGGAATAATATGAGGTGGGAGAGAAAATTATCTTTTGCAAGTGAACGCAAAGTTTCTCAAAGGAATGCAATATTCAGTTAAATATAAAATAATTTGGTATTTTACTTATGTTCGTTTGTAACTGACAAATGAGGAATACTACAAAAAGCTAATCAAGCTTCAGAATACAGAAAAGTTTATAAAAAAATTAGCCACTTTAGAGATGTAGGTGAGACACTGTTGAACAACAGCAAGACCATTTTCTTGATTCCTCTGATCAAGAGCCTATTACACGAGCTGATTTCTTGTTTAACCATGTTACAGAACGCTATTATGTCAGGCCTTTTCAAATGACGTCAACCCACAGAGTCCGTTTGCTTCCGTAACAGCCGTCTCTCTCCACAGCTCATCCTCAGATTACCACTGAGCTCAAAACCAACTCATGCAAAGCATTACCATAGGTAATCAATAGGGAGGCTTTTAACCATCTTTTAGCCATCTCCTCGGATGGGCTTCCACCCATTGTGGTTATACTGCAGGATTGATGTCAGCGCATCTATGAATACACCCTTCGACAGTTTTAAACTAATTCAATTACTATTTCTCGCTTTTTCTGGCCTGCTTTCTCTCTCGCCCCATGGAAAACAACCGTAACAAATCCAATCTATAGCACAGGGATGGAGGGCAAATCCCTCAATGAAAGAGGGGAGGGGGCTGGGTGCACACGTTACACTGGTGAGATCCACAGCTAAGGCGAGGGAGTGGAAGGCTTACAGTGTAATCCCATCAGGAAAAGACCACTGGGTGAGAGGTTAGCACTGGCGTCTCTCTCATTCTCTTTTAACAGTGCCCCGAGACACAATTTTGATCAAAAATAGACTTCCTGTGTAACACCTGTGTCATTCATTCATTCATTCATTCATTCATTCATTCATTCATTCATATTGCCTCCAAGTTTCAGGACTTTTGATTAATAAAGCTCCAGAGAGCAGCAGCTATTAAAGAACATAATCAGTGTGAAAAGTAAAATTTAATAGTATGGGTCTCTTGATTACACATGCACGGCTTTAATATGAGTGCAGACTAGACGAGATCAGAACTGAGTCATGAAACCACTCAGCACTTTCTGATACACTATTCATTCCCAGTTGGGCTCATTGGCTGTTTTTTTTTTTTGATGAAGTATTCAGATAGAGTGTGTGTGTGTGTTCATGTAGTAACATGTCTAATTCAGTCATATTCGGTTTAGATAGTAAGAATACTACATTTGCATATCATATTTGGAGTAACATCTAATTGTCCAACAATAACACTAGTACTCACACACAATGCCATGAATCTGAGTACTGTATGTAGATATATACAACAGGGGTCTCAAACAACACTAGCGGGTTGTGTTCTCCAGTGGGGGCCAACTATGCCAACAAACCAACCACAATATGAACTTTGTACAACACTAAGAAGGATTGTGTCCAAACAGCACAGAACTACTGCAGCAAAAGTGACAGTAAACCTCAATATTCACCTTGAAGATCCTGTTTCCACAAAAACAGACCACAGAGAACTTCACAAAGCCAACATCCATGAAAGAACTGCAAATGATACATTTAATTACAGACACTAATGCTAAAATATGAAAAACATGGTGTTAAGATCATGAAACCTGGACAGCTCGAGATTAACTTCAATATCTGCCCTGGTGATCTCAATCACCTCACTTAAACATGGTCAAACCACTGTGGGCAATTTTTGGAGAGAAGTGTAAGAAGCAGATTCCCTCCTCCAACATCTCTAAAGCAATTGACAGATATTCTGATAGACAACGTTTAACTGGAGACTGTTCAAACATTGTGTTCATCTATTCTAAAAAAGCTGCAAGCTATATTAAAGGCATTGGTGGTAAAACACCTTAATGTTCACATTATGTTGTTCAAACCCTGTACACAATACATATAAATCTATATAGTTTAGTTTTTAAACAAAGGTCAAACCTAAATGCTGAAATCGGAAATTGCTTTACACACCAGATTTAATCATTTAGGGTTGTATGGAGCTATCCAGAACAATTTGGTTTAACCCTTTAAAACACAGTAAAAGAAAGGAACACAGATAAAAAAATATGTATATATACTGTATATAACCATGGATATGTTTACATTGAAAGTTTGGAGTAATCCTATGCCTAGCATGCAAATATTAATGTTTCAACTCTGTTGATCCCTTCATTTTCTTTCTTTTAAAACAAAGAAAGAAAACACCATATCGTATAGGGTTCTCCCAAGAAAGCCTCGTCCGATCATCAGATCATCTCTTGGCGTTCTATTATGGCAGAAACATCTCTGAAACAAAGCACTGCCAATTAATGCTCTATCAGCCTTCTGCCAGTCTTTTCACACTCTATTACAGGAAGCAGTTTAGAGACAGACTACGAATGTTTTGAGTATGTCTTGCTCTGCTCCCTTTCCCTCCATTTTCTTTTAAACAAATCTCTTGTGTTGATTCATGCCACAGCCATTGTTCTTTGAGTCTTGATATTCAATAAAAGCTCATTGTAATGGCAGCGCTGGCTGTTGTACTAACGAATGTGGGCACGGTAATTTTGCGGCGTTTTGCTGTCACGTCTGTCGTCTCCGTTTTTCCTGCCTTTGTGAGCCAAACGACGAGGCTAATCTGAGTGATTGCGGTGGGAAGACGAGAGATGGAGAGCGAGAATAAGAAAAAGCGAAGAAATGGAATGAAGAAAGAAGGTTTGAGCTGTGCCCTGTCACCTGTTTAAGCTTCATCCGTGCTCCTGGCAAAAGAGAAAGTCAATAGGGGAATGGAAGAGGGGGAAGAGGGTGAGAGACAAGGAGCAGGTGAGTCAACACACACAGCGGTAGCCTTCAATGACATGAATATGTATTAAACATGCTAAATGCAGGTTTCGGGTGTCAGCTGGATGATTTACCTCACATTCAGATATGTCGATGGGGGGGTGTGTGTGTGTGTGTGTGTGTGTGTGTATTCTTTGACAGAGTGCCCATTACGAATGCTTGACTGAATGTGTGAGTGTGTGTGTGTGTGTCTGTGTGTGAGAGGTTAAAGTGAGAGGAATATCTGAGGTAAATAGGGGTTAAATAGACAGCAAGGTTTTCTTTTCTGTGCTACGCTCTCGAAGACAGTCTACAGTGAGAACATACACACACAACACATCGCTGTCAGCACTCCAACTGAACAAAGTGATGTTTGGAATGGTTCGGAAACACACACAAGTTCTGTTCCAAACCAAGTGAGCTGCCTCTGTAGGGAGAGTTTTGTTTAGGTGTCAATTTAACACGTGAAGGCTGTTCCAGAAGGTATAGGAATGTAATTATGCTGCCTTCTAAGTTACCTCATTTTGAGCAAATTATAAGCATCCTCTGTGGAAAAGGCAACCCCAGAATGCACTGCGACAAGCTCAATGATAAAATAAATGAAGACTGTGGACAAACAAGAGAAATGTAGATGGACACTTTTCACATTTCTAGGTTTCTCAAAAGTTGGGTAAAATTCTACAGCAGCGACCAGAAGACTACATCAAATGTATTTTTTTGCGTTCCCATTTGCTCAAATAGAAAAAAAACCTCCACAATAGTGTTTTCACGACTTTCAGAAAGAGGAAAAAAATACATATGATATTTTAATCAAATATCACTTTCCTCTCGTGTCGCTTGCAATTATGGAGTCTCCTGTGCACTTTATTTACAGATCCTGCCTATATAAGTTCCAGATCAGTCATTTATGGGGTTCCATTTCAGTTCAGACACTGCCTTAGAAGGCAGCTGCATATGTAGGGAGTGGGCAGCTTACTAGGTTTTGGAACAGAGCTACACAACAGTCCGTAATGCAAGGATACTTTGAATTGCCTTCTCGTTGCCATCAGATAGCAGCACTTCCTTCACATCAGCACAAACCGCAATCTGCAGAAAAAGAGAAAAAAAGATGAAAAATAAACAAATAAATAAATAAAACAAACGCAAGACATCCTCAGCACACTGTTTGCAAGCAGTCATATCTGAAGAGCGCTGATTTTTAAAGCCCTACTCCAAAACGACCACCCCTCTCTCTTTCTCCCCTGCTCCCTCTCATCCATCGCTGTCTGTCTCAGCCGTTTTTTCATTTTACGTCTGCATTATTTTAATCATTCAATCAAATCAGTCAATACTTTTATCATTCCTGGTGGCTGGGAGCCCTCTATCTTGCTATCACTCTGTTGGGTAATTGCATTGTGACAGGGGATGATGGTGAGTGCCGAGCCTTTCATTTGCAGTGTGGCGTTTATCAGACGGGCCATCGCGCTCTGCTGTCACTCCTTACTCGGCTCGCGAGGCCTGCCTGATGCCCTTCATATAACTTTGTACTGCGAAGCTTCTGCCTTTGTGCTGCTCCACTGTCAGCTCTTTCTATACAGTCTTTTCATTCAAGTAGTCGTCTTTATCAGAGGCACTGTGTAACAGTAGTTTGGAGAGGCACAGTGGGCAGAAGCAGGGAGTGTGTGCGTTTGTAAAAGTGCTTGCAAGGTTTTATATTTGTGCTTTTGAATAATGCAATTTAAAATTTCTGACAGTTCTCAAACACGGGAAGCAAAAATAACTTTTTGACACACCTGCCAATGCAGAGTGAATTTATGTATTTATTAATCTTATGTAGTTATTTCTTAGCAGACATGAAACTGTATTTTAATAATTAGTATTTTTAAATAATATTATTGTCCTTATGAGAATGGCAATATTTTGCAGTTTAGTGATGGGTTAATTCTTAAGGAATATTAGCATGGGCTAATAAAAAAAAAGTTTGGGGTAAGTAAGATTTTATTATTTAAAGATATTAATACTTTTATTCAGCAAGGACGCATTAAATTAAAAGTCACAAGACATTTGTAATGTTACAAAAGATGTATACTTGAAAATGTGTTCTTTTGAACTTTCTAATTATTAAAGTTTCTTAAGCATCAAATCAGCATATTAGAATGATTTCTGAAGGATCATGTGACACTGAAGACTGGAGTAATGATGCTGAAAATTCAGCTTTGTATTACAGGAATAAATTATGCCTTCAAATTAATTTAAATACAAAATTGTTATTTTAAATTGTGAAAATATTTCACAATATTACTGCTGAATTGTTTTCTATTCAATAAATTTAACCTCGGTGAGCATAAAAAAAGTTCCCAATAAATTTGTTTTGATGGTATAATACGGTGAATATTCCACACCATCACACAAAGAAAACCAGCATCTTAAATTTTCCCAGGTAAAAGTCCTTTCAAAGATTTCTTAAGTAGTTTTTTAGCAGACATTTTTAATGTCTATAATTTGAAACGCTCAAGTCAAACAAAAAGGTTACATGCACTGACAAAATGAGACAATACAGCAGAATCATCTCTACAGAGTGATGTAGTGTTTTTTGCCCTGTGGGCAAGAGCCAGGTCACGGGGCCCCACACCACCAGCTAGCCATATGGGCATCAAGACCTGCAGGAAACCAACCAGTCACCCAAGAAAAACATGGATGGCACTGCCAAAACCACAGCACTCCAGGGCACAGGACAGAGGAGAGAAGCTATTTGTCCTTGCAAAGGACTTAAATAAACACAAGCATCAAGAAGCACTAAGTCAGACCTGAGAAAAGGAGGAATGCGAGTTTTAAAAAAAAAGGTCGAGTGGGGGGATGAGGAGGGCGATCCACTGGCGGTCCGTAATGTCACAACACGGGGGTATTGAGTGGAGAGATATGGGAAGGCTGGTCTTGTGAAGGCGAAATCGATAACATGTTAAGCCTGTCCATCTGGAGAGGCTACTACAAACTACTATACACACTACACACAGCCAGAGTCTAAGCCACTGATGTGTGTGTATGTGTGTCTGTGACCAAGACAGAATGTGTTTGCATATGCAAGCCTGTGTGTTTGAATGCTTTTGATGAAGTTAGCCCATTGGGCCACATGTGTTTATGGTCACTGAGGTAGAAATGTCAATGTGCGCTGGCTGATTTCATGTTGCTTACAATATGCCCATGTTAGATTACCCATGCTGATGCAAATTGCCCATTTGCCTGTGACTGTCTGTCTGTGTGAGCACTGTATGCAATTTTTGCTTTCACTTTTGACTTACCATGAGACCTGCCAGACACGTCATCCCTCCACCCAGCTCACACACTGCGGAGCCCCTGTGAGACAGAGAGACACGTATGGTTTTGATGCGCCATTTAGCGTTAACATTGAAGTACATGAGTATGAGAGTGAAGTTTTTCAGCTCAAATGAGCTGAAAACAGGAGAATGGGAGCGATAGAGAAAGAGAGCGAGATGCTGTTGTGTCTTGAAAATAACGCTAATTAACTTGCCCGTGTAGAGGGATCCCATTGATTGGAATGCAATTCCACTGGGCTCATTGATCTCAACCTTCCTCTCTCTCCTTCTCTCTGCATGCGAGCGGGTGTATATGTGTTTACAAAAGAAAGCGCAATTGTCCTTTTCTCTGCTGGAAATGTGGATTTGGGCTACAACAGGAACGGGAAGTTAATTAAACATACAGCATCAATGTTCTGCTTTGATTCTGTACTGGACTGTAAGTACAGTACATTGATTCATTATAGATGGCAATACTGCAGTATTGTCAAATACATAATTCTAAATTAGGCGAGACAAAATATACTGGTATTGATGATAACCTTAATATGTAAAAAGTGAAAAATAATATCATGTTAATACTGTTGGAAATAATTGTAAATAATCCAGCAGCAATAACTATCTGGTTAACATTCTAAATAGTAAGTGGTGGTATTGGAACCTAATGCTAGTTGCAATCCGTCATAAAAAAGAAACACCCGAAAAATGTTAGCTTCCAAGGTTAGGAGTTTTTTGGATGTCGTAAAAAAGACAGGATTTTAGACCCCTAGTCTTTAGGAAGTTCTGACCTTTTTGTACAATTTTGTACAGTTACTGTTACAAATTCTCTCCCCGCCTCCCAAAACTCGCATTTTGAGTGATTCAATTAATTGTAGGGAAAATCTGATATTGTGTAAAGCCCTATACTGAATATTTATATATTCAAAAATACATTTGACATTTATATGGTACTCCAAAGTACTTGTAAGAATACCATGGTTTTACTATGGTAAAGTTTTACTTATTTTTCTTTTAAGTGCTATATTTCTGATTCACAGAGCTCTGTTTACATCAAGTGACAAACCAACACATTAGTAATATATGCAAAAGTAAATAAAAAAGGGTTCAAAATTAAACATCATTCACTGATTAATTGATTTCTTATTGCTTTCTAAAATGCTTCATGAATTTTGATAATTGTATGTACTCGGTAGTCAAATCTCACAACACAAAACACGTTGAGGTTGGCACAAAACACTTATCCTCATTGCAAGTGAACATGTTTGCAAACATTTTAGCATATGGCTAATTAGCCTAGCTTCTGCAGAAGAGTTTGACTGGACAAATAGCCTTTAAACCATATGTCAATAACTATAGACAGATATTGAAAGTATTTTCCCCACCCTTAAAAAAGTAAATAAGCCCCAATGGGAATTTATTTTATTAATAGCATTTTGTTTTCTCAGAACAAACCTGCCATTTTTGAGTCACACCGCAACAGTACACTCAGACACATACCTATTGTATATCCAGAGACCTACGCACTCGAACAAAATAATTCAAATGAAAGGTAATTCATATAATTCTCACAGGAATGGAGAATTTACACAAAGACTATAATTTGCATAGAGTTCATTTGTGTTTGTCATACACAAAATATACAGTAGAGAGTCCTTGTAGATCAAAAGCAGCCCAAAACCACACACCAGAACTGTCTTCTCTCACACACACACGCAGGCAGCTTGACTTCATCATTTTGCCAGTCATTTCTCTGCTCCGTGACAACAGTCTCCACGTGTTTGTCTGCTCTCAGCCCATGATCCGACACCTTCCATTGACAGAGAGACAGAGTGGAGGATGAAGAGAGAGCGATTGTTGTATGAGGGAGTGCAATTAAAAATTAATGCGCACAAAACTGCTAGTATGAGCCGCGGCGGGGACAAAGCCCCAGTGACAGGTAGCTATTTGGCTGTACATTGGGCTAGTGGAAAGAAAGGCAAAAAACCAGAGGGATGAAGAGAAGAGATGGGCGCTCTCTGTAAATTGACTTTTTTTTTTGTTCTGCTTTATCCTCCTCTTTTTCTCTTTTTGGTGAGTGCCTGATAACAGGTCTGGAAGATAGCGAGAGGGTGACAGTCCTTGATGACATACAGGAACAAGAGCACACATCCACACACACACACACACACACACACACACACACACACACACACACACACACACACACACACACGCTCAAACATACTACACACACATACACATGCAAATTAACTTCAGTGTTTAATTTAGAGGTCTGAATATGCACCAGACCAAATCACAACAGATCACAGGTCTTAACATCCTCCGTTCGCACACACACACACACACACACACACACACACACACACACACACACACACACACACACACACAATCCTATAGAAGCATTGGCCCAAGGGCGCAAAACCCTGCTCTGTCTCTATATGCCCAGTTGACCTTCAGCTTGCTGCTGTGTGATCGATAAGCCTCTCTTTCCTCTTCTGCCTCTTGAATGTAAAAACAGGAAATCAAAGGCTTGTGTACCGCCTTGAGTACAAATCAAAAAGTGCCCCTTGCTTCTCTGTCATATGGCCAAAGTGAGAGAGAGAGAGAGAGAGAGAGAGAGAGAGAAGGGGGCTCACGTAAACATGTGACGTTTCTTCAGGCAATAGTAGGCCATCACCTCTTCAGAAGGCCAGACACCTGAAAGAGAAAGAGAGAGCAGTTAGATAGAGTGTATGAAGTGTGATGGTACTTACTAGTGCACCAAACCGCCAAGTTTGTTTACAATACCGGGTATTACTACACAATTTTCACTATCACATTAAATTTAGTGCACATCAGAGCATAATCTGGCTATGAGTCATCCATTCAGATATGAAAGGGCCGTCTGACTGATATATTTAAACCACCAATCATAACTCATATGATTTACAGTGATGTTTAGGGGCAGGAAATAGATTAAAAGCATTAATGCATTAAAAGTGATAGTTAGGAGAACATATACTACCATTCGAAAATTCTAAAAAAAAAATTAAAGGCTCAATTTTTGTGATCAAAAATACAGTAAAAACAGTAATATTGTGAAATATTAACCGTTTCTATTCAATTTTAATGTATTTTTTACATTTAATTAATTCCTTTGATGGCAATCACTGCAGTCTTCATCATGACCTTCATCATCTTGCATCATTCTAACATGCTGATTTGTTGCTCAAGAAACATAAACTGATCTTTTTTTTAGGATTCTGACTGAGATGAACTGGAAATTCAAAAGAACAGCATTTATTTACAATATAAATCTTTTGTAATATTATAAATGCTTTTACTTTTGATCCCTTCAATGCATTTTTGCTGATTAAAAGTATTAATTTATCTGATCTCTCTCTGTCTCTATACATAATTGCCACTACATTTTTTTATTAGTTTTATTCAGTATTTAGTTTTTTTCACCAGATGAACATTTGTTTACGGTTAAATTAGTGAATTATTTTAATAAATAATGTTTTACTAAAAAGAAATATAATTGTATATGCATAACTACAAAAAAAATATATAAAATTACTACACATAACAAATTTTTTTTTTTTAGTGAACATTCATCTAGTCAATCATGTCATGTAGTTACTATAGTATAACCATCACATTTTATCTCACATTTCCTTGCATAATGGATGAGAGAGATTCTTTAATGCTCAGTATAGATGGCCAGATCATAAAAAAACTGAAAGTTACTATGATGAACATTATATATCAAAGACTGCAAGGAAACATTCAATTTATTACATACCATAACCTCACACAAGGATGCTACAAGCCTACTTGGTAACCTTCACATGATGCAACATAAGGACAGTGTCTCACTCTCTTTTACACTGGCACTTTCTCTCTGTTCATGAAGAACGCTCCCTGCTCGATACAGTTTGGTTCCAACACACACACACAAGATTCTGGCTACTTAGGCTTGTAAGCTGTGCATAGAGTGAGTGGGGGTCCAGCGAATGATTATCACAAGAAGCAGACTGGTGGTCTTATCACCCACTGTCAGCCTCTGCTCCTTCTGCTAGCTCCAGCAAGAGCCATAAAGCTGCTATTGTCTCTCAGACACACACATACATACATGCAGCTAAGGAAAATAGTCATTTCAATAAACTTAGACCCCTAAGCTGTCTGCCTTTGATGGGAGCTCGTATGTGTTTGGATTTGTGTGTGTAACTTTACTTTCGTTTGCAACATATCTTCATGTATAAATTTGTGAAGTGTTTTAAAAGAAAGAAGAAAGAAAACAGTGTTTTTGGTTTGTGAGTGCTGGGAAATGTGTGCACCTTTCTGTAACATTTTAACCATTCTGTCAGACAAAAAAAACATGTTTAAATATTAAAAATTTAATTGTGGCTCAAGTTTAAAGGGATAGTTCATTCAAAAATAACAACTCTGTTATCACTTCACCCTCATGTCATTCCAAACAGGTAAGACTTATTTTCTTCTGTGGAACACAAAAGAAAATATTTCGAAGAATGTTGGGAAGAATGTTTTTACCATTGACATACAATTGTATGGACAAAAACCCATTTGCAGCATTAAAATATCTTCTATGTTCCACGTTTCTATAGGTTTCATTTTTAGTGATCTATACCATTAATTAACAGATTTTAATGTCATAATCTAAATATGCTTACAAAAAGACTGTAAACTTTTAATTCCCAGCATTATGACACAAGGTACTTCTTAGGAGAATTAAATATCAATATTCGCACAAATATACACTTTTTAATTATCACAAGGTTAAAGGTAACAGGGTTGACATTTTAACAGTATCCCCTACTCATAAACGTAGGGAATGTGAGATAAAATTATAAGAGGATACTTTAAATTGTCCTGAAAGAATTCACGTCTGGAAAATTATGAAAATTAATGTCATTATGACAGATTTTGTTTTAGAATATTACTGCAAAAAGGGAAAAATATAACAGTAACAAGTGCTTCAAGTGCTACTTAACTTTACATAACTTCATTTTTTAAAATGCATAATATCATTATCAACTAAAATAAAAGCAAAATAATAATAATAATAACAACAATAATAATAATAGAGAGGGAAAATCAAAATGCTAGCTTTTATTTCCATTTAGTTATTAAACAAAAAGTGCTAATTATGGATAAAATGGCAAGGAAGAGTTAAAAAATGGTCATTATTATGAAAGAAAAGGAAGAAAAAAAATCTAATAACATTACTGGATTGTCAAAAAGGCATTTTGTATTTAAAAAAATGTATGTTACAACAAAGTAAATTTTTTATCAGCTATTCTTTTGCTATTCTTAAACTTTCTTTAAAATTTTTCAAATAGGTGTGTGAAGGACATCAGTGGTGCTGTTTTGCAGGATGGCCCGGCTAATGTTTTTGTTCAGTCCATGCAAGAATAGCAGTAATACAGAGGGTTAGAGAGAGGGTGAAAAAATGTGTGTGTGTGTGTAAGACAGAGTCGATTTAATAAGCAGCTTATGACCTGCCTTTCAGGAAGGCCTGTTAAAGCCTGTCTCTCTCAACCTCTCTGCACCATCATCTTGAGATTAACTCACCCAAGAAAGATTTAATAATATCTATTGATAAAACGTCAACATATGCCTCTGCCATTAAAAGGCGGTAGCACCTGCTTGCTATTCCACTTGCTGATGAACCATCTGACATTTTGAGAGGCTATAGTGTAAGATTTATCACATAAGGATTGTAGCTAGACAGAAAAAAATACAACTTATGACACTTAGAGGTCACAACAACAACTTCTAGGCTCATCCAGGAGGCCTACTTGTGCCGATTAATTTGGCTGACTGTAATCTCTGAAGTCTCAGCCTATGATTTATATGACTGGAATTTTAAAAATCCAATAACTGTGAGTTTGAATGATGGGCTAAATTGTATCACTTTGATAAAACTAGAACTATGCTCAAGTGTAATAGAGGCTTGTGATGTCTTCATTTATTAACTGCTGTACTGTTACATACATCAAAGAACATTTCTGGTGAAAATGCTTGAGGTTTCTCAAATAAACTCTCAGAGTATAAATGGCTTAATGACATTCTCATAAGTTAGACATTTTTAAAAATGACATTTGAAATGGATTGATTCAGCAATTGTACAAATGGTGAGATAACATAGGGGCTCCTTAATAAGGGCAGGAGTTTTTCAGATTTTAGAGGTCTTTTCAATAATGATATGCTGAGATAAAATTATGGCAATAGGTGGATTTCTTTCCCTACTCTCAGCTGAAGTACACAGTTTCTTCTTTTTATTCACTGTGTGCTGAATAGCGACAATGCACTACCTTCACAAATACAGTTTATGTGCAGAAAAATTGCAGTAAATGTGCAACAAATCTAAAGCAAAAAAAAACTTCTTGTGAAGCTGCTTTGAGACAGTCAAAATTGCTATAAAAATAAACATGACTATGAAATACTATGTTATGCACAGAGGTGTAAAGAGTACCTAAAAACCATACTTAAAATTACTCCACTACACGTTACAAGTCACCAATTCCAAAACAACTCAAGTAAAAGTCTTAGAGTATCTGATTTTAACAGTACTTAAGTATTTTACTTATACTAAATATAGGCTCAAAGTGACATGCCAGTGAAAAACTGTAACGTTGTGGAGAACACCTCAAAATTACAAAACAAAACAAAAAACAATATCTTTCAAAAAGGTCTCTTCAGTATAATGGATAAATAAAATAATGTTAAGTAAAATTAAAAAGCCGAAGCCTTCTTGCAGTGGATGTGCTGGTTTGGGCCTCATTGCCGGCTGCAGTCATGTCCTCATCTCATATATAAAACACCTCTGATTCACAAATACTTGCTGAGGAACTTGCATTCACATAAAGTAGCCTTGTTGACAAGTTTGGGTGAGTAAGGGCAAAACGTAGTACTTTCAGTGACCTGTAATAGGCAGTATCATGTATTTTGTAGCAGAAATAAACTGCCACAGAAAAAGCTAGGTCCATGCAAAATGTAATGTGTAACTGCAACACTGATTTCAAATGAAGTGGAGTAAAGAGTACAGATACTCATTCAAAAATGTGGTGAAGTAAAGAGTAAAAGTTGCTAATATCTTTGATACTCAGTAGAACTACAAAGTACCCGAAAAGATACTCAAGTACAGTAACTAATTACATTTACTCAAATACTTTACACCTCTAGTTATGCAACAATTATCCAATAATGCATAACCAAATTATATAAAATGGGTTTGCATAATGACATTATTGTTTGGGGTCAGATTTTTTTTTTTGGCAAGCATGCCCTAAATTGATCAAAAGTGAAAAAGCTATTCTTTTGAACTTCCTATTAATCAAAGTACACTGAAAAAAAATTATCAGTTTCCACAAAAATATTAAGAAGAAATAGAAGACTAAAAGAATATTAAAAAGCACCAAATCAGAATAATAAAAGAATTTCTGAAGGATCATGTGACACTAAAGACTGGAGTAACGGCTGCTGAAAACGTAGCTTTACATTTTTAAATACTGTATATTCAAATAGAAAACAGTTATTTTAATATATTTCGTAATACTATTTCACAATATAACTGTTTTTACTATATTTTTGATCAAATAAATGCAGCCTTGGTGAACAAGACTTTCAAGAACATATAAAAAAGTCCTACCAACCCCAAACCTTTGAACGGTAGTTTAAGTACATTTAGTATT